TTGTCATGACAGGAGTCCAGAATGAAGGCTGCACAGTAGATTGGACTTGAGGGGAGGGATTGCATAACAATGAAAGAGTTTTACTTTTCAAGGAGAAGAATGAATTGGGGTGGGGGGAAGGGATAGGGAGAAAAGTGCAACTATGAATGACTAGAAACACTAAGTCTCCACAAACGTTCATTAAAATTAATTTTTTTTAAAAAAACTGGCATAAATGAGCTCTGGTGGCCTAGTGGCAAAAAGGTGTACTGTAATCTCAGAGGTGCACAGTTCAAATCCACCACTGCTGGAGAAGGAGGAACAATTTCCTCCTGTACCAGTCAGATCTGATTTGATGGTACACACACACACAAAATAACAAAACAAAATTAAAAAAAAACTGGCACAAAAACACAGTTCACACAAGTCATGATACAATGATTTGCATCCTAGTAAAGTAAGTAGCATTGAAGGTCTTAACAGCTGTGAGCAGTCATCTAAGACACAGCCATGGTCTCTACTTTCCAGGAGAAAAACAGAAGGGAACTAAGCGAAACCTCTGAGAAACAAAAACAAGTCTACAAGAGCCACAGCCTCAGCTAACTTGAGACAAAATAGATTGTGCCTACAATTATTACTGACCATTCAAATCAAGGTCACAATTGGGTAAAGATAGGAGAAACTCTAGAGAACTTTTTCAAAGGGGGTGGCATAGATAAACAAACAATAGAAAACAAAGGACTTCCTGGGAGTGTCATCCAGAGTCTTTAAGTCTAGTGCTGATCCTATTCTGAGATTATCCTTTAAGAAAATAGCACAGTGATGACATAACCTTGCTTGCTGAAACTGAGGAGGACCTGAGGCATTTGCTGTCGAAGGTCAAGGAAATTAGTTTTCAATATAATTGAAGCTCAACATCAGGAAAACTAAGATTCTCACTACTGGACCAAATGACAACATCATGAAAGACAGTGAAGGGATTGAGATTGTTAACAGCTTTCAGCTTGCTTGGCTCCACAATCAACACTTTTGGTACCAGCAGTCAGGAAATAAAAATATGAATTGCACTGGGAAAATGTGCTGTCACAGACCTGTCCAGAGCAAAGATGCCAGTGTAGAGACAAAGGTGCACCTGATCCAGGCCATGGTCTTCACAATTACTGGCTACACATCAGAGAGCTGGACAATGACTAACGATGACAGAAGAAAAATTGATGCCTTTGAGTTATGGTGCTAGAGAAGAGAATTGAACATACCATAAACTGCTTAGAGAACAACAGATCTGTCCTGAAGAGGGTGAAAGCAGGCTGCTTGTTGGAGGCATGGATTTTATAGCGCTATCTCACCTAGTTTGGGCATGTTGCCAGGAGGACTCAGTCTTTGGAGAAAGATCTCATGCTTAGAAGGGTGGAGGGTCAGCACAAGAGAAGATGACCCTGGATGAGATGGATTGACTCAGTGTCTGGGGTAACGGGGGTAGATATGTTAGAGATAATGAAATTGGCTCGAGATAGAGTGGGGTTCAGAGCTGTTGTACATAGAGTTGCTATGAGTTGCAGGCAACAAGATAGCATATAACAACACAAAAGTTATTACCATAGTATCACTCTTCTACTTAAAAAAAAATCGGTATGAGAGCAAAATACCAATGAGTTATTCAAAATCGAAGATGAGAAGGGATAGAGATACCAAGAGTACTGGCAAGAGAATAAACTAAGATGAAAGAGAATGTTGAAACATTGTGATAGAATGAATGTCCCTGAACAATTTATGTGAAAATTATCAACTGGGAGTCCAACTTGCTGTGTAACCTATCACCAAAAACTCAATGGAGTAATATTTTCTTAAAAAATAAAATTAGTATCAAAAATGCTGACTGCCTGCACAGCTTTGTGCCTGATGTCTATGAGAAGGATGTCTAGAAATGATTGTTAGAGAAATGTGCAAATTTCCAATATGAAGTCTTATGTGTACACATGTATAAAGATTGAGAGAGACAATCAAATATATTTTACCTAATATCTTCTGTGCATTCATATACTGAAAGCTACAGGAGAGTAATGTTAAAACTATAGGCTCTAGAGTCAGAATTCCATGAAACAAAATCTGACTCCTTGCTAGCTTATAGAGCCTTCAGTATACAGTATTTCTTAAGTATATCACCAAGCTTGAGCTTCATCATCTTTAAATTGGAGATAATACTAGTATCTAGCTCATGGGGCAATCATCAGAATTAAATGAGATATTCTAGGAAAAGCCTTCAATGGCTGGCACATGGATGTTGGCCATTGTTATCTAGAGAAAGAGGATAAAGATACAGTACCCACTAAGTTTGGAAACTCAAGCCAACCAGCTTTCCCCTCCCACAACTCTGCTTTTACGTCTTTCATCTTAAGCTGTTTGCCTCCAAAGCAATATTCATTCCAAACCCTCAAACTTGTTAATTTTTTTTTCAACTGAAAAGTATAAACTTGATCATCTTTAAAGTTACCTACAGTTTGTGGTAGTTTTTGAAAAATAGTATGCACATTTTTAGTCTGTCACAGGGTAGGACAACTTACTAAGACAATGATAAGTGATATTATTATTCTCACAACAGAGAACATAGACATCAACTACTTCCAACAAGGGAAATCTAAAATCAAGCTCTACTAGGCAAAAATAAAGTAGACAAGCACTATCTATCCTCAGAAAAGTATTTCCCTGCTGGCTTGCCATATTCAGAAAATTCTACACTTCTTAGTTCTCCTGCAGGACCCCAAGCTAGAGGCTACGGTCACATCACCTTTTATAATTTGTTTCAATCATATGGATTTTTTAAAAAAAAAAATCAAATTCAAAAGCCAGCTTTGAATTGAGAATTTCAACTCGACAGATTTCCAATGACAGTGCACATTGGTTGAACATAGTTTGTGTTACCATGGAAGCTCAGGTTTAATCAATGAGAGGGAATAGTAACGCTCAGGTTTCATCAATGAGAGTGGGTTAGAGATCACCCAATATCTGAGTCAGTGGAACAGGAACAAAGTGAAGGGATGGAGAATGATAAAGAGTGATTGTATCTCTTACGCAGAGACCATCTTAAGCATATTATCTTGGCCTTTTCACACATATGAGCATGCAGGAACTTTACAGCACTGGGATTTGATGCCAGGGTTCCTAAGGACAGGGGTGCACACAGCTTAGGCAGAACATCCTAAAGAACCCTGGGGTCGTTACTTTCATTCTTTCATGACTGAGTCTAGCACCATCTCAAGCAGGACAAAAGCAGAAGCCCTTGTGGTCTCAGGCTATCAGGAAAGCACAAACTGGTGCTTTTGTGCATTTCTTTGTGTGGTATTTGCTTTTGGTTGGTTGGTTTGTTATTTGACTGAGTGGTCCAATTCATGTTGAACAGCAAAAGCTGCTATCAAAGCAGATCTATTCAAAGAGCCTGTTGCCAGGGCAGCCACTCAAACCCTCTAACTCAAGCCAAACAGCTGTACCCATGTCTCTGGGCCTGTGCTTCCATGAATGCTGGAGGCTCTGGCCCTACCCTGTGGTGACCAGAATCTCCAAACAGCAGAATTTCGTGTTGGGCCTAATCAGGCATATTTAATCTGGACTCATTTCTTTGCTATAAAATCAGGACCCAGAGCACAGAGTACCATCCGAGGCATGCAGCTCCCTGAGGCCACATCTACCTAAATCCAGCAGCCAACTCCTACCACAGCCAACTCCAACCTCCATTCCCTGGAATTCTAGGCTTAGTCAAGAGAGGGAGAGTTAGCCAAACACTTCCCCAGCCACCTTCTCCCATAGCTGAATTCAGAGCCAGAGCTCACCATTCTCCACACAGCACTTCTCCCATGTTCTAAGCAAGCCTCCATCCCCACACCTGTGCCCAGGTAGGCATGCACACAGGCAGCAGAGGGTGAACACATGACACCTCCACAAGCCACTCTCACACTAAGGGGATCAGAACTCAGAGAAATGAAAGACAAATTGGGGGGTAGGAGTGGGGAGGAAAGTAAAAGAAAACGTAAAAACAAACAAATAAATAAAAAATGATGGGTTTGCCCTCTTGGTTAGACATGGCAGCCAAGACATACCTTTTGAATGGGGCCACGCAGCTCTTGGTTCATGGGACTGCCAAATAGGTGGACGGTCTTCTCTATCACCCCGGGGGTCTTGAGCCAGTATTGCTTTGGTTTATTTCAGGGGATGCTATTGGAGACATAAAAAAAGTGCCTGGCGGGCACTATAAAAATAGAAGCAATGCGGGAGACTTGATCATCCCTCAGGCATTTATCTATTATTTCAAACAAAGGGAAGGGAGGGAAAATATACTGCAAAGTATCCTTCTTTCTTCCGGGAGCGTGGCTTTGGGGTGTTTCGTCATGGTCACGGCCAAGTCAATGATGCTCTGCTTATATTCCATTTCTGAATTTGAAAGATGCTCTTCACCAGGTAGAAAGTGAGAGGGGAAAAAAACCAGCTGCAAGGAGCACAGAGGTGCTGATGTGCTGACGACGAGATGCTGAGGAGGTGGCTGCTGGTAGGGGCCTGGCTGCGGGTGGCCCAGGACTTCTCTAGAACTGTTGACATTCTCACAAGCAAAGGAGGAGGTTGGAAAGGCCAGGGAGGAAACACGGGAAGGGGGTCTGCTCTGGGGAGCCCCAAACTTCATGGGGTACAGAATGTGCAATCACCTCCCTGACTAGACTTCCTTAAAACAATCATCCCCCCAGTGACATTCTTCTAAAAAAGTTATTCTCTCAAATTTCCTTTCTCTTGCTTAAAAGAAAATAAATAAATAAAAAGAAGTCTGTTTTTTCTAATAATAGCTAGAATGTTGTTGTTACTGTTGTGTAGCATCAAGTCAGAACCAACCCATAGCTGACCCTCCAGCGGGTTTTCAGAGGCAGTTAATCACACAGGAGGAGATTGCCCATCCTTCTCCCACAGAGCATTTGGTGGATTTGAACCACATGCTTTCAGGTTTGCAGTGCAGATTCTTGCCACTAGGCCACCAGAGCGTCAACAGCTAGAATATATAAATAATATATTTCTTTAATATTATTGGGTCTTTGTTTCTCAACCCAATAGTCCTTCTCTCCATTTTGCCAATAAATAGGAAAACTGAGGAAATCAACTCTGCTCATGTCGAAAAGCTTCCCTCCCCCACCCCCAAAAAGATACTCTAATTTCCCATTTCTTTCCCCTTTCTATAAAAAGTAAATAGTACATCCATCTCTCCTTGAAGGACTCTCATTCGGTCCTCTGTTTCATTCTGTTTCAGTAGTTTGTGCTTCTGTTGTACATACCCAGAGAGAGGGAAGGGAGGAGGGGATGCGTGGAGGATGAGAGGAAAAAGAATAAAGGGGAAATCTAAAATTTTCTTTCATTTTAAAAAAAAAACACCAACCAAAAACATCAGAACCAGAACAATGACCAAAGTCAGAGGGTGGTGGCAAACTGCCCCAGAGTCTGTTCCATGAGTTTAGCAACTGCCCTTTTTATCTGCTGTGGGCGAGCCCCTGCCACCGCGGCGTCCTCGGCAGGAGCGAGGCTCATCCAAATCGTCCTCATCAAAGCCGTGGAAAGTTGACGTGTCACTTTCTGATGTGGAACCGAATAAGTCCTCCGTGGTGCGAGCTGCGGCCGCTGCCTCCTTCTCCTTCCTGCCTTCTCCTCCCAAATGAGCTGACATGTATGATGAATATATCAGCACATGGGTTAAGCAACAGACATCATTATTAATATTCTTAGTACACTATTACCATGTTACTCTTAATAGCAAAACTGAAAACCAGTTCACACACTAAAATGGATTAACCAGGTATGTCACCTGGTGACAGGGAGTTGGGATAAGGGGACAAAGCAAATATTCCCAGGGAAGACAGCTTGCCCTCCCCCAAGCAAAGGCATCATCAGCCTTATAATACACATGTGCACAGCTTCTGACAGTGAAAGATTCAACCAGGATCTTTCTTCTCATCCAAATGAACCCATACAGACGCACTCTTGCTCAGTCACACCCCAGACAATGATTTTCCTGGGTAGTTTTTAAGCCTGGCTGGTATTTCTTTGCTGTTTCCAGTAGGTGCTTCCTTGAACAATGTTGGCCCCTCGCTTTTGACAATCAGCTATACAAAGGTGCTACTGTCAGATAACCATTCCAGGTGGCTAAGCCTCCATTCACTTTATTTTTATTTTTACCCGCTTCTAATCCCATTCTTTTGATACCCTTTCATTTCTGCCCTGACACCATGTAGTTCATTTGCACTGAAAGCGAAAAGAAGTTGGAAAGTCTGATAAATGGTAAGGAATAAAGGAGCCTCGCTTTTTAACCACTGGAGGAAGATTTGGGGGATTTGCACACTCACACTCACAAGTGTGCAAACATACTCATACACATATAGATAGATGCCAGCCTCTAAACATGCCCATGTCTTAATGACTTGGCTACTGAGTTCAGAGAGTTGTCAATTTCACTTCAAGCACTATGAAGATGAGAAAAATAGGGTAAGGAACTCCCAAAAATACATTATCCTGAGATGAATAAAATTCAAGTATCAAATTTTTTCCCCACTCTAAAATAAAGAGTCCCACAAATAAGGTGATAATTTGCTGTTTATAGCACAATTTTAGACATTTCACTTTCTACTCACAAACAGGCTTAGTGGAGGAGACAGGGAGGGAAGGGCAGCTCTTCTGAGCTCCCCTAAAAGGGACTCAAGGGAGGCCTTACAGAAGCATTTGCCCACCTGCCTTAACAAACACATCCCATGGGCTAATGCCACCTGTTTATTCCCAAAGTACCAACTATTTCAGGAACATCAGAGTTAGGCCCTGACTAACATGATTTGCCAAAATTAATTCTCAGCAAATGTGAGGAGAAAATCTAGGCTGCTATCACATGGCCCCAAGTTACATAGCAGACAAAACCTGGGAACAGAAAGCTGAAGGAAGACAGCAAAAGCTATGATTTGGGGAGACCAGGCGAACATCTCATGAAGCCCCATAAGTAAAATTGAAATACCCTTGTGTTTGTAGGAAAGGGAGGAGAGAACATACAGTGATTTTTGAGAATTTTGAGGTTTCCCTCTCTAGTTTTCCCTTGTCCCAAGGAGTCCATAACATTCTATTTAGAGTATCACTCTGCCAAGTGACCTTGCTGTAAAGACTGTGCCTGATTCCTTGTTCTTTCTTAAAACACCCAAAAAACTAATGCCACTTATTTCCTTTTAATTATCTAAAACCCACGATGTCTAGTAACACATAGTCCCTGACTTCCAAGCTACCATGAGTATGGTAAAAAGTTCAACACATTAGATACCATGTCTGGAAAGTAAGTGAATTCATTAAATTGTATTTAAGCAGTCACCCAACCAGGGTCTTCGGGAACTACATGATGAGTTTTGTCTACAACAGAACGGGAGTCTTTTCCTAATTACTGATATTCCAGGAAAATCAGTCTTGAGCCCCAATCAACTCTAATATTCTAATATTTAAAAAAGAATCTAAGGTTTAAAGACAAGTAAGGGAATAACTGAGCAGTTTCAATCAGGTTTGGTCATCTTGGTCTTTCTTTGGAGACTGAGAGTAGAAAAGAGGCTGGACAGGAAGGTGAGTGGGACCAGTAACCCTCACTACTGGAACTGACCCCTCCACTGGACTGTGTTTCACCAACTAGTCAGTAGTTACTAAGAATAAAGATAAGCTTGGTGTTCTCTTTCTTCTTTGCATTCATTGCTCTTCAGCTTAATTATGACATGAAAGAGTTTAAAAAATAGATAGCATCAACCAAACATGATCAACCAAAAGCAATGGTTTGGTTAAAAGCTAATTCAAAGACCTGAACTTATTTTAAGAATGAATGAACCAAGATTAAAGTATCATTTAATCTTAGATTAATAACAGACAAAAAAAAAAAAAAAGGTCAAGTCCAGAATCACCCTCGAGAGACATCTGCCCATTTTTCTCCTTGATCTATCAGGGTTCCTTAAAACATCTCTATATGAGAAAATGGAATGAGTGGACAATGGAGATGGAGTTTATGACTCTATCCAGGAGCCCAGGTGTCTCCTGACTCCCACAATTCAACATGGGCTGTCCCTTCAATATTCATGTTTCCAAACTCTTCTCATTTGTCCCCCGCACCTCCACAGAACTAACACATCTTTTTGTTACACTCCCATCATCCACTGTAAGAAAGCATCTAGCCTGTGTCTCTAGATATTTTCACTTTTTCTCACTGTTGTTTGCAACAAGACACACAAAAGATATATGCACCTCATAGCAAGGCCAGAAACAAAATAAAAATGTCTCCTTGGCATTTTCCCTGGGCATAACTTTTGGTTCGTGAGGCCTAAAGAAGGGAAAAAAATATCAAAATGCCAAACCTCTCACCATGGGAAATTACTACCATTTTCCACTCTGCCTTTTCTCCCTCCCCAAAAAGGCAAAAGGATGCAGATGGAGCAGGTCCTCAAGGCCACACTCACCAGAACGTCCACAGTCTGCACAGGACACCAGCTCTTCGGGTCTCCCGCTCTTCTTGTTCATATTAGAACCCCCCAAGCAGAAGTCACAGTAGTTATTGGGTATGACGGTCCCATCCGGGCCTTTCTGGGCTGTGGAAACATAAAGAAAAACAATTGTAGCCTTGGGCCAAGATGAGTTCCTACCGCTTCCACCTCTCCTCCCACAGTGTGGCAGAATCTGCTTCAGAAAGAACACGAAGTTTAGAACTTACAAGCTTTGTTCCAACAAACTTGCTAAATTGGGCTACATGTTTCTTTATTGGTTCAATAGTAATTATGTCTTGGAATTCATCTAGAGGTTAGTGGAAATTTCCAATATTTCCCAGCCCTGGATTTTTGCAGCAATTCCCTTGCTCTTCTAATTGTATCCCAGGGTGAGTAAACCATCTACAAAATTCAACTAGTCAAGCGAACTCCTCAGTATTGAGCAACACTAAATGGCAACCGTCCACAAAGGGGCGACTAGAGGGAGGGAGAAGAGTCAATACCTGGACCTTGCCCTTGGGAAAGATGCTCTTGTTTAGGAGATATTCCTCCTGTCCCTGCAAAGGAAAACAAAGAAGCACTGATAGATGATCATTTCCATAAAGGAAACTGGAGATACTCTCGAGAACTTTCACGAGCATCTTGGTAAATAACAAATGTCTCTGCTGCTTAGTCTTACCGCCCCAAAGTCCCAACTCATGGGTCATAAAAAGTACCCCCAAAATGAAGTTAGTCTATAAAACCCCAGCACCTGGAATCAGGACTACACCCAGGTTTACCCACCACAGCTCAGAGCTCATATCAGAGATGAGGTGAATGAGGAGTCCGTGTGCACAACTTTGGGCTTCAAAATTTTGTCATTGAACGCATTACCTCATAGCCCACCATGCTGAAAGTCTCTCCCCCTTAAGCAAACCCAAAGACAAATTCTAAGACATGGTCTTAAGAAAATAAAGCTTTACTATCCACGTGCACTTAAATTCTCCAATTCTAGAGACTGGATCCAAGCCATGGACAGGTACTTTGCATGGGAAAGAAACATCTCCATTTTTCTCTGTTTTTCTGTCCCTATTGTGGACGTATCTTTGTTAAACATTCCACAGTAAGCATTAATGCTCTCTGATTGTGCCCGAGAAGTTAAGTCCATTTATGGGATCAGCCTTGACTACTATCTTCCTGCTGCCCATGTCCATACATCTGCAGCTATCTTTCATTGTTATTGTTGTTGTGTACCATCGAGTCCAACCTTACTCATAGCCGACCCTCCAGGTTTTCAGGGGTAGTTAATGCATCAGAGGAGATTGCCCATCCTTCTCCCATGAAGCAGCTGGTGAATTCAAACTGTGTGCCTTTGGGGTCAAAGCACAGCTTCTTACCATTATGCCCCAGAGCCCCCTAATCTTTGATTCGTCACAGGCTAACATTAGCCAGGATCCCATAGTGTAAAAGGAAGCAGATATATGTGCACAGAAATACCATCTAGACAGAAGTGATAAACAGATTCACCCACTCTAATATGATTCCCTCTGGCCTTCACTTCTTCCTTGCTTCGGCTTTGCCTCCAAGAACAGAAAATCTTACCTTTGGAAGGCAGAAGACAAAAGCCTGCAGAATTACATTATAGAAAGTTAATCCATTTATCAGTTGCTGTTTGGATTGTTTAATCAGTTTCTAAGTCACTGATTTTCATCTTCAGGGAAGCAGAACACTTTCTGCAAGAAGAAAAAGTGTTTGCCATTTGGAGGAGACAGGAAGAATCAGTCACACCTTTTGAACCTGTTGAAGGTATGTCTTTCTTCTTCATTTACTGCATTTTAAAGAGATCTTCACATACTATAGAATGGTTTTGCAAATAGATTCAAAATACTTTGATATCTACAATAATTTAAAAAATATTTATTCTGTCTATAAAATCCTCATTGCTCAAATCCATACGTATTTCTTTCTTTTCATTCATTCACCAACTTAACTATTTTTCTTACTCTCCTATGAAAATCCAAGTATGTCTAAGAGACAAAAAAACTGAAGTGTGTTTTCATTAAGAGATTATCATGGAAATCTACAAGAGTCAAAAGCAAGGAGAGGTTGTACTTAGGTGTTGCAAAGTCAATTTCAACTCATAGCAAAACTACATATAATAGGGAAAAAAATTATATGCCTGGTCCTGTACCATCCTTACAATTATTGCTGTGTTTGAACCCGCTGTTGCAGCCACTATTTAACCCATCTTATTGTGGGTCTTCTTTCTGGCTGACCATCTGATTTACCAAGCATCATGTTCTTCTGATCCCTTCTGAAACCACGTCTAGAACATATGAGACAAAGCTTTGCCTTCCTCACATCTAAAGGATATTTGATTGTATGGCTTCCGAGACAGATTTGCTTGTTCTTCTGGCAGTCAAAATTGTTTACCAGCATCAGAATGTAAAGGTATCCTTTCTGTTTCCTTATTCAAGCCCAGCTTCCATATACATATGAAGCAAATGAAAACATCGTAGTTTATGTGTTAGGCACCTTAGTCCTGAAAGTGACATCTTTGGGTTTGGTAATTTTTTATTGTTTGGGTTGGTTTTTGTGTGTGGGATTTTTCCCCCCTTTTGTTCATATATATCCTTGTTTTTGAAAGCAGATTTTGCCCAGTGCAAAATGTGTTGTTTGATATCATGGCTTCTGCTTCCATGGGCATTGATTGTGCAGTAAAATAAAATGAAATTCTTGACAACATTAATGTTTCTATTTGTCATGATGTTGCATATTGCTCTTGTGTGCTATCAAGTTGGAACTGACCCATAGCTGACTCTCCAGTGGGTTTTCAGAGGCAGTTTAATCACACAGGAGGAGATTGCCCATCCTCCCATGGAGCAGCTGGTGGATTCAAACTGTATGCCTTTGAGATTGCAGCACAGTTTCTTGCCACTAGGTAATATGAGTGACCTAGTTCAATGAACATCTAGTTTCTGAAAATTCTCTATTTTCTTTATGTTTAGGTTTAATCCATGCTGAAGGTATAATCTTTGATCTTCATCAGCAAACACTCCAAGTTCTCTACTCTCTCCACAAGCAAGGTTGTGTCATCTTCATATCACAGGTTGTTAGTAAATTTCTCCCAGTTCTAATACCACATTTTTCTTCCCGTAATACAGCTTGTCAAATTATTTGAATCAACACAATGAAAGGATACAATCATGACTCCACCTTTCCTGATTTTAAACTAGAAAGTATCACCTTGTTCTGTTTGCAAAGCTTCTCTGGGCCTAGGTAAAGGTTCTACAAAAGCACAATTCAGTGTTCAGAAATTCTCATTCTTTGCAATGTCAAATTTGTTATGATCCATGCAGATGAGTGGATGTTGGGGAGGGAGGGGTTTTTTTGTTGATTTTTGTTTTGTTTTGTCTTGTGTTTGGGTTTTTTTTTATAGTCAAATGCTTTTGAGTAGTCAAAGAACACAGGTCAGCATCTTTCTGGTTTTCTCTGCTTTCAGATTCAATTTATCGGACATCACCATTGATATCCCTCATTCAGCACCCTCTTCTGAACCATATGGAATTATTGATAATTTCTACATTTTGGTAGGGTTTCACTTTTCTTTGGAATGGGTATGAATATGGATCTTTTCTGGTTGATTGACCAGGTAGCTGGTTTCCAAGTTTCTTGGCATAGAAGAATGAGCACAGCACTTTCAACAAAGTATGTGCTTGTTGAAATAGCTCACCTGGTTTTATATCATTTCCCAGAGCTTTGGGGTTTTGTCAATACATACAATGCAGCTTAAATGTGCCTCTGATGGCATACTGTGTTATACGTAGCACTCCTGGCCAGTTAGAAGTTCAAATCCACCAACTGCTCTACAGAAAAACGAAGGCAGTCACTTCCCAAAAAGAATATTTACTGCCTTAGAAAGCCAATGGAGGATTGCTATGGAGTTGGAATTAACTCAACAGCCATGGGTTTGATCAGTATACCTTGCATTTTTTCTCTTGCCATATCATCAAGTTTTTACCATGTGTAACAGTTCCTCCTACTTCCTGAAATGGTGAGGATGACCAATTCTCTTTCAGTACAGTGATTCCGTGCATTCTATCTTATTTTAATGTTTCCTCTATTGTTTAATATTTTACTCATCTCAACTTAACCCATTAAGTCAGATCCAAACCAGAGCTGACCATTGGGTCTGAGGCTATAAGTAGCACAGGAGGAGATTACTCATCTTTCTCCCGGAGAGCCACTAGTGGACTCTTAAGTGCCAGGGAGGCATGGCCCTTGGGTTATCATTGTAATTCCCAAAGGACGAAGGTACCAGAGATACCCAGTTTATCCATAGAAACCTTCAATACTGCAACTCGAGGCTTGAATTTTTTATTCAGTTCTTTCAATTTGAGAAATGCTGAGTGTGTTCTTCTCTTTTAGTTTTTACTTTACTTTGTTAAAGATTTTACTTTGTCTTCTAGAACTGCCCTTTGAAATCAGCTCTTTTTCACATCATCATTTTTGCCATTCTCATTAGCTACTTGGCATTCAAGAGCAAGATTGGAAGTCTCTCCTCTGACTCTTTTCCTTCTTCTCTGTCCTTTTTAATGACCTTCTGCTTTCTCTATGTATAAAGTCATTTATGTCAACCCCCAACTCACACATAAATAGAAAGAAGTAGGGTGTGTTAAGTTTACGGGCAGAGAGCAGTGAAAGATAAGTTCCTTGACAGACATAAAATGTAGAGATGACAATCACAATACAGATAGTTTTTGCATGAAAGGTAATCAAAAAACCTAGTGTACGTGACCTAACTAAAATTTTTTAGGAGGTTCATTCTTGCCATCTGTCTCTCTTATTGTTTCTTTTTAAAATTTTTATTTTATATTGGTTTGCATACAAAATTCACAATGTATACGTTGTGAAAATTCATACACATACATTGTGAAAATTCATAATTCTGCATACAAAATTTATACAATGTCTGAATTGTATTTCATATTATTATATTCCCATACACTGTATTAATTACCATTGAATTATGCCCACAATTATCCCATCTTTCAGGTTCCCACCAAATTGTTCCCATTTCCTTTAGCCCCTAGGACTTCCCATTAAGTCTGACTTCCGCTCCCAGT